AGGTCACTCCCTCCTGGCTGCTTTAACACTTTTAAATTAAAAGAAGAAAAAACACCCCAAGGAGAACTCGCCTTATTCTACCATACCATAACATGTTTTCGTTGCCGTCGTTTGGCTTTGGGGCGACTCCCCACCGCATGGCAGGTCCGAGGCCTGGGTCTTGTCTGCCCTGGGTCTCAGCGGTGCCTCAGCGGGGCGAGCGGCTGGTCGCGTTTGATCAATGAGCAGGGATCACACGTGACAATGGTTGGAAGGGGGAAGGGCGGGCAGGGCGACCTCACAGAGCTGGGCTGCGGCCCTAGCCGAGTGACCAGGGCGGCCCTTCCCGAAGCGGGGCGTCCGAGGGCGAGGGAGCCCGGCTCAGCCAGAGCTCCCGGGGGGCAGGAGCCAGGGGAGGCCCCGAGGTGGGAGAGCCGAGCGAGTGAGTGGCTTCAGCAGACCCACCTGGTGATGAGATGAGCCACTGTGCCCGAAGGGCCAGCGCACAGTGAGGGCTCAGAAAGGCCGGCTGGTGTCATTATTGCCCTCCCGCGGGCACACGGCCAGGGTCGCCCGCTTGGGAACAGCAGTAATAGAGGAACAACATTCTCCCCCCCGACCACGCGAGCGACTCACGGCATCGAGCCTTGGTTACAGCTTGACTGAGGTATAAGCGACAGACAAGCCACACACATGCAAAGCATACGTCCTGATGAGTGTTGACACGGGCACACACTCCACGTGTATCCATGCCACCCAGCAGCTTCCACGTGCTTTGAGCCGCTTCTATTAAAAGTTAATTCTCCTGGTGTTTCTGTGTCCCAGTCTCTAACTTGGGTGGCGATCTTTAAAACCAAGAAGTAAAAAAAAAACAAAACAAAAAACCTCCTTGCCCTGGCCAGTGTGGCTCAGTTGGAGTTTCATCCCATACCCCAAAAGTCTGCAGGTTCGATCCTTGGTGGGGACGCTTATGGGAGACAACCTGTGGATATTTCTCCCTTACATTGATGTTTCTCCCTCTCTCTCTCTCCTCCTTTCTCTCTCTCCAAAATCAATAAAATGTATCCTCGTGTGGATTAAAAATAATAAAAACAATAAATAAAAAATATGAAAACCTCCAATCCTCAGGATTCCATGAGACGTTTTATTTTTCTTTTGTGTAAAGCCAATTAGGAAACACATTACCTTTCTCTCTACAGTCACCTTTCTTTTGATCAAATGTTCCCTCAAAAAAAGAAGAGTCTTTTTGATCCTACAACACGGCTGGTGTCACTGGGTTTGGCCTGATTGGTGACCTGAGTGCAGAGGAACCGACATTCACCACAGAGTTTGCTCTGACACAGGTTTTTCTGTGAAACCTCAGGTGGGAGTTTTAACAGCCTCTGGAGGTCAGGAAGCCCCCCCCTCACGCCTCACCCGCAGGCTCTGCAGCTTTGGGCGATGACCTTTCCTCCAGGAGATTCCAAAAGACCCATCAGGTCAAACTCAGCTCCATGAAGGGCGAGGTCATTTCTAATTCTCAGGGCATCAGCCTGAACTGGGACACTGAGCCAAAGCCTTGGTTATATTACCAACGTTTCCAATTATGTCTTATTAACAAGGACAGGGTGGTACTGAACTTATGCAAATAAGTCTATTGCCATAAACATGAGAATACTCGAAAAGGCTTTAGTAATTTTTGGAGAAATCAAACAAGGAGACAGAGTCAGTGTTGAACTCGCATGGGTGCTCTTTCCCATTGCCCACAGCAGTGTCCCGGTGCCCGCCACACGTCTCCCTGGAGGAGGGACAGAGCTTGGATTCCGGGAGCTTATCGCCTGCTCCCACCGGTCATCACATGACCACTCCATCCTGTGGAGCACCCGGTGTCACCTCCACTGTGGAGATGGTGCAAATGAGACCAACCAGGAGTGGGGGCTGGTGTGGAATGTGACCTTAAGTCAACAATAACGAC